TTACTCGCCAACTTCCCCTCCCACTCTCCATCCCTGAGATGTCCCCACCACTACTGCTGCCCCCAGGACAGAACCCGCACTCTCAGGGCAGCAGGAGGTGCCCTGAGCGTGAGTGCAGGACCCAGCAGAGGGGGGCAGTGCCCAGGGCCTGTGACCGTCCCGAGGATCTTGCCACACTGAGCACACCTGCCCACCTCCGAATCCCAGGGTGGCAGCCCAGGTGCAGGAGGCGGGTGTGCGTGCACCTGCCACTCACACTCACGTAGGAAAAGAAACCACCATCTGGACCATCTGTGGTGCTTTCACGAGTAAAGAAACAGAATGCTGAGCGACGCAGACGACGCACAGCTCGCTCCCCTAGACACGCTCGCCAGACGTACACACAGCCCACAGCAAGGATGCTGACGCTTTTAAAATCACTCTGCAGGCTCAATTTTCCACTTCGAAAAGAGAAAATATTAAAACACAGCACAAATTAAATCCATGTTGCAATTTTTTTCTTTCCAAGACAAATCAGCATCGGCATTTAAGGCCACCTACCCTGACTACAGAGACTTTTAAAATCAACACGTCCTCAGACAAACAAGTCGTTAACATCTGCTTGACAAATAACTTAACATGCAACGTCTTTTAATGGCCAAGAAGAACATGATTACCTTAAATAGAAAGTCATTTACAAATTTAAAACCGGGAAGATATTTGTAATCAGTGCAGTTGGAAATTGACAGATTTTAGATGGTAAGTCTCCAGAAGGAGCCACCTTGATCTCTTGACTCAACTTACACGACCACGTGGTTTATATACATGTTTAATAACTTTTTAAGCAAGAACATGAGGAAGCTGAACAGTACGTTGCTTTACTCAACGCCAGGCTGCTTGAACACAGGCACTTGGGATCGCACAGCTTATCTGTGGCATCTGTGGAAAGGGAATGGATTCTCTCCCGCCCAGAAGTCTGACCGTGGGTTTCAGCTAACGTCTTGGAATCATTTCTGCACCATCTCAATGCAACTGAGACACTGAGCAAATGCAGTCATCCGCAGGATCCCAACCGGAAGTTGCGTCACAGAAGCTTTTAGCCGCGCACGGCTCACGCGGTTCAGACATCCCTCCACTGGTACGCCTGGGGTGAAGGAGGAATTTTACTATGGTATATGTCAGAGCGAGGAACTCTGCCTAGAAGCAAGTTAGGAGAGAAGCACAGGGGTTGGGAAAGCCGGAGGAGGGGACGACGATGGTTTGACTCCCGATGTGTGCAGTAGGACGATCCCATTTACAGAAGTATTTCCCTACGATATTCAGAAAACGGCCTCAGCCCTCACCTTGCTGAGCACATGCGTGGTCAGAACAGCAGAGACTATCTACGCTCTACCTGGGAACACAGGACAAGACAGTCTCCTCATCGGAGTCCCTATCTTCACCAGCAGGGAACCGAAACTGTTGCTTATGCATATGAAACAGCCAGCATGCCTGTCCGCTATGTAAATATTCCAGAGCCACCGCCCCATGGGGAAGGAAAAGGCCCAGAAAAATAACAGCTGCCCTGGGGCACTAAAGCAGCCACATCCAAGGAGAAAGCATCAATTTTCTTTGAAAGTCACGAAAAACAAGGTTTATCCAGCTGCCGGACGTGAAAGACGCACTGGGGGTCTCTCCTTTAGCCTGGCTGCTGGGAGTAAGGCAGGGGGCTGGGTTATACAGTGAAGAAGGGGCGGGGCCTCTGAACGGGTCCCTTTAATTACACATGAGGACATCGGAGCCCCAGGAAGCAGCTGGTCGGCAGATGCAATATAAGTTCTTCTGCAACCCCTCGCTCAGGAAACTTTACAGGGTTTTACATCTTTGCAGACCTACGTTATCATCAGCAACAAAACCCATTAGAGGAAGAGATAACCTCAACTCTGAACAAGAGGAATTGATTACAATGACGATGGCAGGAGGAATATCCTATGTGACCACAAAATGAAGCGACCTGCTTTTACACTCAGCACACTTGGGTTTTGCAAGTCCGTGATCACGTCATCTGCGAGGGACCAAGGCATTACAAGGGTAAATACATCGTGCCGAAGCCCATTCTCAACACATTTTAGAAAAGAGCAGCATTAGCTACTGTATTTGTTTTAATACCTCATTTGAGTGCGTGGAAAACAGAAGAGGAAAACAAGAGAACAGCCATGGTGCAGGGAATCGCCGTCATCCACGCAAGTCCAAAGGCAACCAGGAGGCAGCTCTTTGTGCAGCCGCGAGCGTTCACACACCCAGAAGATGTCCCGGCATTTACAACGGCAGCTTCAAGTTCCGCAAAGCACATGAGGTATCATCATCAGGATAAAATGTATCTGCTGCTATATTTGAATAAAGTACAAACAAATTTTCCGTGCAAAGGACTTACGTTGTTCTTAAAAATACTCACATACACATACACATAGTTTTTCCCTGGCCATCAAACACGAAAGCGCTTGCTTTCCCACCCTGTCTGACAATTTTCTCCTATTCAGTCCAGAGAACTATTTATACCGTTGCAAAGGTAAACACCGTTTTCTGGAGGAATATAACTTTGAAAGTAAATTCATGAACTAGAGAAGTTAACGTGCAAAGACTTACATCGAGTTGGGTTTTTTGATCTAAAATTTGGTATTTCACATGAAGTCCTGATTCGACACAGGTAGGTGTACATTACACAAATTTCTTTTTTAAAAAATCTTCTTGCTTTTGTATCATCCTAAAATAGATCAAAGTCTTACAGTCTGAGAATTATTTTCTAATATAGGATCATTTAATCTTTTCATACTATTTTCTCATTGTAAATATGAAATCATCACAAAAACTACATTTGAAACTCAAGTCATGAGGATTTGAACCCCAAATTAATATTTCCAGAGGGAATGATGTTTGGGGTAAATGTACATTAGACATCATTACAAAGTTAATGAAAAAAGCATTTGTTTGTACAAGATATGGTATCCCTAGGTAGAGCCATTCATAGATTTGTTTTCTTCAAAATTTATCCGAACCAAACATTTAGTATATGCTTTCCCCACATGGCAGGACAATTATCTCATATGACTTGCTAACTTCTGAATTTATGGAAATTATTTTCTGTACATCATCTTCACTGACATTTTTAAAATTCTCTTTTTGGGGTAGATTACATTCAAGGCATAGCTAATACCTTGCCATATATATATATATATATATATATATATATATATATATAAAATTTTAATGTCCAATTTCATTCTCAGAATCTCATTCACAGCTTCCACTATTAGAAGAGTTGCAGGTGGTGACTTCCCTGATTTTTTTAGTCAACTCAATAAAGACTAAGTTCACAGGATAGCTTTTAATTGACATCCCGATGGCTGACACCCAGGGTCATGGCCGCAACACCTCCTGACCTCCTGAGATAAACTTAATGGACCTCATGATTGCAGACAGACGCAGCACAACTCAGAAGCCCTGTACACTACTTACAACTGGGAGCAAATGTGACATGTGCACTAAACTTATTTCCATCAAATAGCAGTGTCTCTATATAAACGGTCGCAAAAATAAAACTCAGGGAACACTTTCATGTGTCCATGATCGTATTTTAAAACACACAGTTTTAATATTACCCCTTATCTTAAAATTGAAGAACTAAAGCACAAACACGTTTTCTAAATAAATTTGCTTCAAAATGTAGATCACAAATATTCCTGGCCATCTTTCTAGGTCCTTATTCCTTATCCTATGAAGAACTGAACAAATGTAGGGAATTCTATTAAACTTTCATTTCTTAAGAGGTATAAAACTATTTTATTCTCTTTCGCTTATGGAATCAAATTTAGAAATAAAATAAAATTTAGAAATAATCTTCACTAGACCTAGGGATCTTCCAGGTAGATCAAAGTACTTTTTAAACATAAGTGGAATTTAATTAATATAATATGAATTGTTGTTAAGATAACAAGCTGCTGCCTTGTTTAACACCTCATTGTATTTTTTACGTGTCTACTCCACAAGTATGGAAACGCCGCACGAAGAACACGCTGATCTTTTTTCACACGTGAGTGCAATTGGTTGATGGCGGGGTGTCTATTCGACTTCTATTTTCTTTAGTGTCATTAAGAGGTGACTTATTGCGAACGTGGCACTTGAACACCTGCTTATAAGCCTTCCTGAAATTTTCAGAGAGAAACGCGTAAATGATGGGATTCACGGAGGAATTACTGTACGCCAGGCAGTGGGCGGTGATCCGGAAGAAGAAGGAGGTGGGCGTCAGTGGGAAGACCCCAAACTCAGCCCAGAGGTGGATGACGTGGTGAGGCAGCCAGGAGACCCCGAAAACCACGACCACCACCAGCACCGTCTGCGCAGTCTAGGAGAAGGAAAAGAAAGGCGATGCATCGATTACAGCAGGAAAGGAACCCAGCCTCTTACAGCACGTACTTGATTTCTGTGTATTCTCACAGGATCAAGTACGTACTAAATCTGCCTTAGGTGTTAACCTTCACTTCGCGCAGCAGTTTTGTTCGAAACTTCCCCGGGACCGGCCTTGACCCTCCATAGGGAATAATTCTAGCAGGTATGTGAAACGCGTATGGATAACAGGAAGCGCGCTTTGAGTCACGGCAACAGGAACACACAGACTGAACACGGTAACTTTACAACCCGTCGCACAGCACACAGTGGGACTGAGCCCAGGGAGGCAGCTCAGCTGAGCTCGTGAACGCTGCTTCCGAGAGTTGCCTCAACAGACAAGAAGAGATGTTTATTTCTCCTTGTTGAACTTGGACAAACTTAGAGACCCCCCAACACATGCAGTGGGTCCAGAGAGCCATTTCAGGGCCTGTCTCCCTGTTTGCTTGTGTCTCCAGCCTTCCCTGCCACTCCTGAATCTGAAACACCTAGAAATCAGAGGCAGGGTCCACACGCGTCCTTTGAGGTTTCTGCTGAGCAGATGATGGGAGAAGATCTTCCCTGGGCAAGAACCTCGGCACGAGAGGAGCCCTCCCTCCCGCGCACCACGCGTGTGCCCCCGTCTCCCCGCTGCATCTGTTCTGAGTGCCCGCCACGGGCTGCAAACCTAAAGGGCTGGGGTTGAGTCTTGGGACACTTTTCCTGTGCTCCATCACCACCAAATCAGGACACGCTGAAAAGCCAACAGTGCAACTAACTGAAAACTCCATCTCTAGGGATTCGAACAAAAGACAGTAGGCTATTAACAATTTTTAAAGTATAAAATAGAAAGCCATCCGCTGGTTTCTTCCTTAAAAGCGTGTAAGCTGGGCTCAACCGCCTGACGGCAGAACCAGGGCTGGGTGGGGGGCACCGAGAGGCGACCTCGGCTGACAGCTGGCTTTGCGTTCTTCACTCGCTGCCACCATCCGGGCAGACCGCACGATGATCCGCGGTGTAGATGAGGACGCTGAGACCTAGCCTGGCTAGGACACGGCCTGCTGCCCGCCCCCCCCCCTCCCCCCCCCCCCCGCCGGCGGGATGCAGAGTTACAGCTGGAGGCCGGTCTCTGTGATCCCAAACCGTGCTCTGAACAGCGGGCGCTCGGGGAGAGAACATCCCACAAGGTCTACCTGGTAACGGCAGCCGCATCCCCGTCTCTGAGCACCCAGGGCTGTCTGGACCGCAGAGCCTTAGGGCAGCTCTGTGGTCTCAGTCCTGTAACTGAATCACAGGAGGGACGTTTGCTGGCTCGCTCTCCTGCTCCAGCGCCCATCCCCCTCCATTCTCTTCTAGGGCGTTTGCTCCTCGAAGGTGAAAGGAATATTAAGGACACGAGAGAGAGATGCTTTCCGTCTCTCCCCTGAGGTTGGAAATCCAGTAGCCTCTCTTCCTCCTCAGATCAAGCCCAGGCTGTGATGCTCTAAAGACTGTGTTGAACATGCAGAGCGGAAACGTGACCATCAGGACACCTCCCAGAGCAGGAGAGCGTGGGTGCCCATCATCCCCTCCCAGTCACGACCCTAAATCCACTGTAAGCACTACCTGAAGGTCCCCTGTCCACCTTCCCCTCTAGAGAGACTGGGATCTCGGCTGGGATCCACGAGTGTGCGGGGGGGAGGTTGAGGGGAAGGAGAGAGAAAGAAGGAAGGAGGCTTCTTTCTCCTACAACCTCACAGGGTGGAGCAAAGTGATTCCACAACTAGGGAACCACTGTGGACCCACACATTCTTCCCCGGGAGAAGCGCAGACCCTGGCCCTGCAGGAATGTTCCCACCTGACAAGATGATGTTCCTATTACTCCCCATGAATTAGAATCCTGCTGTTAAGGACAACAACACCCCGAAGGTAAGGATTAAGGCTCCTCCAGGAGGGGCACGAGGTAGCAGACTGACTCGGAGAGGAAGTCTGTCCAAGACACGGGCTGGAAGCCAGGAAGCCCAGGCAGAAACGGGAGAGGAGACACTCAGACCTCAGGTCGAGGTCAAGGCGAACGCGGTGGCCAGCGGGGCTGGAGGTGAGAGCTAAGCTCACCATCAGAAGGTGCGCGGACCGTGCAAAAGCCAAGGACCGACATCAGCCATAAACGTGTTAACGACCTTTGAAAACTGATGTCACCTCCCTGGGCTTCACTCTCCTGGTCTGTGAAGATGGTGACCCAACCTGACGATTCCCTGACTGGGCCTGGTCCATTTCAACGCTTCAAACAACTCAGGTACAAACCCGATGACGGGTTTTTATAGGGTGGCAGGTATACAGATTGAAGCCACCGACCACGTGACGCACAAAGCCAACAGCAATCTGCTCACGTATATTAAGGGATTGTCTGCTGTCAACCTGTTTACCCATCAGTGTGCGGGATACATTCCCAGACGCTTTGATAAAAACCATCTAGACATAATTCTACCTGCAAACAGAACGGAACACATCGTCTGTTCTTTCTAAGACAATAAGAAGATCTCTGTGCTTCACAGAACACTCTCTGGATATTCTGCTTCACTGTTCCTTTTAGGAAGTTCTTACTAAGTACCAAGGTTAGGGCAGAAATATACCCCAGCAGCTTACTGATAAGAGCCACAGTGTATCTTTGCATCATTGTAGGGCAATGGGGAGTATGGTATGTTTTCTTTGGGGTGTTTGTTACTGTCTGTTTACCCAAGTCCATTCAAAATCTACCTTTTATTTTTAGCAGTTCCACTGGTCTTTTCAGAACCATGAACGAGGTTCTTTTTCTCGGTCTACCTGTAGCTTTGAAATGTGACTGGATTACAATTACGATATAAATTAGGGAAGAATACTCAATCGGTACTTATATAAACTGTTATCATTTATCGAAGCCTGTTCCCAAAAGAGTTTAATAGAATGTTTGTGCTCCCTGCTTAGTGTCAGCAAGGGTTCACTACTTATTTCCTGCCTGTTTCACAGGCATTCAGCCCGTCAGAGCTAGTACAGCAGTGGGCACCCTGCACACGGGCCCTGGCGCTCAGCCCCGCAGCCCTGCAGGCGTCCACACGGCCATGGCATCATGTTAGGCGAGCGCATCCCTGCGTGTAGGCAGAGGCGGTACACGGCTTCCTCCTCTGTCTCCTTTGCAGTACAGGCTTGCTGCAGATGCCTCTGGGTCCAGGGAACTGGGAAGATGTGGGAGGGAATGCAGGAAAGAAGTCCACACTGCAGAACAGGGCCTGCAGCCAGCACTGCTTCCAACACCCGACTCAGAAAGCAGGCGCCTGGAATACGCCAGCTCCAGGTCAAGACCTGGTCAAAATAAGGCGTTGTACTAACAACCACGAACCGGGTTTCCAGCAGATCAGCGCACCATCATCACGCAGGGCAGAGCTTTGCAAAAATTCCGGTATCTGGGCCTCATGCCCGATGGCTCTGCTTCCATAGGTCACGGGGATTAGGTAGCTGCCCAGGAACCTGCCTTTCTAAACATCTCAATCGGGTGTTTGAAGAACCGGTGAAGAATTCCACAAAGGCCACAACAAAAGCAAATCATCTCATCCACCCCAAGTGAAAGGCTAAAGTATTTCCTCCATGTTGACAGCGCCTAGGCTGACCCACACCGTCTCCTCGGTAGGATTCGCAAAAGCTGCTTCCTCTCTGCTCCTTTGAAATGTCAGCAGGTAAGGAGACAGGTCCCCTCTGTGGGGAATGAGGCTACTTTCATTTCTTACAGTTATCATTGGCCTCAATCACAGACGGATGTGCATCCGATGCACCTCCTACTCTCCCCATGTGTCTGTGCAGAGTACAGAACCACCGTATCATCGTCTGATAGAGAAGAAGGTATCATTTAAGGTCATGTGCTAAATCTCTGTACTAATTCCTGTACTTGAGGTTGGGTGTTTTATTAGCCTGTCTTCTTTCTACTCCTCACTCTGAAAGTATCTGGAAAATACTAATTTCTCCTCCTCTGAGATGCTCCTTTTCAAGCCATCTGAGACATCCGTTATTTTTTCTTCAAAGAATTTTATTCATAATCCGTCTAATGGAACTTGGCAGAGAAGAAAAAAGTGACTAAAAGATGAGAGTGATGAAAAACATTTTGTGAATTGTATAAATGACGGCCAGAAAGCTTGCTGAATTACTTCAAGCCAGAAGGGGAAAAAAAGAGCAGCTGCTGAAAGAACCTTGTGGTTGAGAGGGTACCAAAAGGGCCTCGCATCTGCTTCCTTATTAGAAGGAACCATCCAGTGGGGAGGTCTGTCCCACTGGGAAGTCTCGCAGAAATTGGTTAAGAATCTCGTTTTAGTATCTAATCAGCCTTGTGCCAGAAAACGTGTCTTTATGTCCAGCAGAGCCTGGCATTAATGAAGCACAGGGCTCTGTACTATGATTGCTACTGTTTTGGCCACGGAAATCACACTCTTCATTTGTATTTTCCTCCAAACATGCAGGATAACTGTTCGGCACATTTGTGATGAAAGACCCAACTCTCTGCCCCGTGAGTGCTACCAGCCTTAACACTAAGGGGTCCCCAGGTGGGTGGATACAGCACAGAGGAAGGTGCCCTACTCAGCCACTGAGAGGGGAGCTGGAAATGGGCGCAGCTGAAATGAAGGAACTATCAAAATCTTATCACATCACCCTGTCATCCGCCAGCAACTGAACATGTATACACACCAGGAACACTTTTCTGCGCGAAGACCCGGGGAAACATCACCATGAGACAATCCAGTCTCTGCCTTCAGGGTTGACAGTCAAGCTGGCTTTCCATCCTGGACCCTCTGCTCTTCCCCCTCTGTCTCCCGTCCGCTTGTTCTCCTCTCTCTCTCCCATTCCCTCTTCCCACCCCACCTCTGCACCTGTGTGCTATCCCTTGCCTAGACGCAGGTGCACACACACACACACACACACACACACACACACACACAGGCCCCAGCACCACACTCTATTTGTTCTGTGCAAACAAAGAGGCAATTAAATATATCAAAAGAGATCTGCCATCTGTTCAGTGCTTATTAAGGGTCAGAGGTTGTGAGCATCGAAGACAAAAGCTTCCCTCCTCCAAATGCTGAGAACTTCTCCCATGGTAAGAATTACATTTACACATACGTATATAATATATACCCACACATATATATGTACACACACACACACCCCATGCACACACGTATACACATAAAACCAAATGATGTAAATGTTAAACTAATCACTGATCTTTAGATCATTTTACTGTAAAACAGAAGCTTTTCTAATCATTTCTTCCGAGATCTATTTTCATTTTTTTTTTTTTTTTTTTTTTTTTTTTT